AAAAAAAAAAAAACCGAATGCTTTTAGACAGTCGTAGTTTCTTATTAAAAATTAAAAAAATATGACATTTGCGTATGAAAATATGTAGATTTGTTAAAATAGTAGTGGTTGTTTAACCGTTAATGCAGATCAACGCAACTTCTGTGACAAAAATGCATAATACCACAATGAAATGTCACATGCTTATAAAAATACATACTAACACAATGAAATGTCACATGCTTATTTATATTAATTTTTATAGTGATATTTCAGTTAGAAAGTTATATTAAATAATATATTAGAATAACGCTGATTCTTCATGTGGTGTCACTTGTCACAAATCACAATAGCAAGAACAATGCCAATGTGCTGTCAAAAAATTCCAACGAAAATGAACAAGCCCACCTGTCTGGGAATAAATGGTCAATTAAACTTCAAAAAAGTGCAGTAAAAAATCAAGAAAAAATAAAATTTATCCAAACATCCACATTTCTTCAATCCACCAAATATTAATCCATACATCACAAAAGCTTTTGTCTTTTGTCTCCAATTACAAAAACATCCCTTTATCAATTTATCTCCAGAACAAACACCACTAAAACAGTGTAAAAAAGGGCTTAGCAAATNAGGCTGCAAAGGAATTGATCTCACACCACATAACAAAGTACCGGCTTTTGTTTACACGAACCATCTTATGCATTTTGGTTCAAAACCTCGGCTTCGGCCATTTTCATAGGATCATCTGCAACTTCATCTTCCTTCTCTCCTTCTCTCTCCTCTGCAACTTTCTTGCGGTGGAGCTCCTCTGCAACTTTCATGGCAGCTCGTTGCTCCTCCTGAAGCCTCTGCCTTTCACGCTCTTGCTCTTGCCTCTCGAACCACGTGTCAGCATCCTCCCAAACTGCAATAATAAACGGGAACAGAATAATAAACAAATTAATACCAAAACATAGACAGAAGAGTGAATTCAATGTTATGATGCATGATTAGTAGGGCAGGTTAGATTTCATTTTCAACGAAAAATAAAATAAAATAAAATTATATCATTCTGGTGTTTGGGACTAAAGAGAAGTTAATTGAGACATTAACAAAAATCAAATGGAACTGAACGAAAGACGAAGAGAGAGAGTTTTACACCGAAAAATTGCTATGGTGTATTGGAGTTCTAATTTAGGCATTTGTACTATTAATCTTATTCATAATAACATGAAATAAGTTAACATATAAATGCAATTTAAAATACCCATAAAAAAACCACAGAGAACACTCCAAAAAAAAAATGGAGCAGGGAAATAGAATAACTTCGATTTTAACTATACTAAGAGAGTTGTCACTTGGTAGAGATCAAAACTAATCGTATTCGTATGATCTTCTTTGACAGAAGCAACTTTCGACATCTTGCCGATAGAGATCAAGCTCAAGACATTTTCTCACATTGAGAAATAAAATCACATTTTGATCCAAGAAATAGGTCGCCCATTTGGTACTTCATAATATACAAAACTACATATTCGATGTATAGAACACACATAATGAATAATTTACCCTATAGTTCTTCATGACTTAATCTAGTTTCTTTACACAGCTTATATTTAGAAATATTGCATAAAAACTGAAATCCTTTAGGTAATCGAAATCCTAGTTCATGTAGAAGCCCAAAATCTTAAAGAACTCACAACAAAACCAACACTCAACAAGCAAACTAAAGTTAAATCCATCTTAACATTTATACTTAAAAACCGAAATGCCATGTTATCCGTTGCTCCTAAGCATATATTAGGGGAAATAAAGACATATTTTATCACCCAATAGTTCAAATTCCAAACAAAATTCACAAAATCATCAATTCCAACATACAATTGATAAGTAAATAAATAAATAAAGGCAAGGCGGATATATAGGGCTTACTAGGTTTGGCCGCCCAGCCCTGTTCACCGCCCTTGATTTTCTCCGGCAGGGCGTAATTGACTGTGAGGACGCGGCCGTAGAGCTCGGCGCCGTCCATGTTGTCCATGGCGGCGGCGGCGTCCTCCCGCTCGAGGAAGGTGACGAAGCCGAAGGAGCGGTGCTTCTGCGTGGCCTGGTCGAGTGGGGTTTTGACGTCCTTGATATCTCCGAAGGGGATGAAGGCGGCGTGGAGAATGCTCTCGTTCACCTCCTCCGCGAGGCCGCCGACGTACAGCGTGTTCTTCTGCACCAGCTCGTTCATCCTCAGAAAAATCGGCGTCTGATGTGTGTGAAATCCGCCATTGACGATGGCTGAGTGAGGGTTCTTATAGCGGGTTGGGTAAAAATCTCGATTATACCCCTTGAGGTTTTGGGTATGTCAATATTCAAATAGTTTCTTTTCTATGTATTATTTTATGCTAATTTTCCTTTTGTGTTTTTTGGTGCAATTCTATAATTTTTTTTATAACAATTCAATAATTTTTTATAACATTCATACTTTTTTGTATGGATCTGCCTAACGGTAAGTTGGTCAATCCGTTATAAATTTTTGATACAAATGTATAATTCGCTACAAAATGTCATCCTTTTTGTAATGACATTTGAATTTGAAGGTATTCTTCATATTAGTTGAAACGATATGGAATTTCTCAAGTTTTAATTATTATACAATGTGTATTTTAACAATCAATTATTCTTTACTCAAAAACTTTACTAGGATTGCTTTACTCGAAAAATATTATTCAGTTTTAGTGGGTTAATTATAACTTATAAGGTCATGTAAAAGCTAGAGGAAATGTCAAAATAGAATAAATTATTACGCAACTTATCATCCAAAAATTTATTATGTATTGTAAGTATGTATCAAGAATTTCCGAACGAATGCTTCAGATATGAAGATCACCACAAAATCAACCAAAGAAAAGGGATGCTCAAATTTAAAGCTCCATTTAGAATACAATATTTAAAATCACAATCACCACAATCAAAATCCAAAATTTAAATCTCTAGAAATAAGAATATTTTAACCCCTACGATGACAATAAAAATAAATAATAAATATAATAAAAATCAAAACTTGAATATGGTGTGAAGCCATGAAAAAATGAAAAATATCCCACATCTTCTACTTCCTCTTTAGGTATAAGACACCAACAGCCACTGATAAGCTAACAACAGCAACAGGGAAAACCCAGTTTTGTTTGCTCAGGTTCAGCACATTCTCAAACCGCTCTTTAAATTCTTGCTTTTTGTGTACAATCTCGAGCTCGGGAATAGGAGGTGGCAACTGATCGAGTTCCCCAATGAAAAATTGCTCCATTTGGTCCCTTGCAGTTTTACTATGCCCGGCATCTTCAAATTCTTCTGTGGCATCTTTTCCTTCAGATAAAACAAAACGGTAAAAAAAATTCTGGTGATGAAAGAAATCGTAAGAACTAAGAAGTGAATCACTTAGTGATGAAAGTTACATAGAAAAAGTACCGGTGGCTCTAAGTAAGACATCATCTCCACCTGGATGCTCGTCCAAATAACTTGAAACGTCATAAACCTGTAAATTAATAATCAAACGATCAAATCTCTAAGTTATAAGCAGAACTAATGGGGTAAAAAAAAAATCCAATTTTCGATCAGAATTTTATTTGATAGCAAGAAACTCTTTCCCAAAGTTATCTAGCATCGCACAAAGATTGAGACAATTTTCCCAACACAACTCCATATTATAACATAACAGGAGCAACCAAACGTATAACCACAAATAACTTCACAACGCCTGAAACAGATAAAACTAGCAAGAACAAATATAGCAACACTATGATTAAAAACTTCAATTTCCCTCCAATCAACAAGCTATCATTAGATTAAAAGTTTAAGTCATGCTAAAGTACCAAAATGGTTTACAGATTGGATTTCTGTAAATACCCCCGACAACTATTCATTAACCTTCTCTCATTATAATATTACCAAAATCAATAATCCGTATTTTACAAACACATGATTCAATAAACCAGTTGGAAACCATTCTGGCAAAGTAGATTGACTCTTAGAAGTTTCAATTTTTCCTCCAAGCCACACGTTACAATTAGATTAAAAGTTCCAATCTATCCTCCAAGCAACAAAGCTATCACTAAATTAAAAGTTTCAATTTTTCCTCCAAGCAACAAGCTATATATCAGATTAAAAGATCATATTTGCTCCACCAAACAGCAATCTCAGAATTATCAAGTGCCCCCTTTCATCAGCACCTCAAAACCAAAAAATCAAAACCCTAAATCTCCCCCCCTCAAACAGAACCCTAATCCAAATTCCCCTTCCATCTACCGAGTATTAGAAAGGGATAAAATCAAACTACAAGTTCAATTTGCATATTTACACCTCCAAATTTGCTCCACCAAACCGCAATCTCAGAATTATCAAGTGCCCCCTTTTATCAGCATCTCAAAACCAAAAAACCAAAAAACCAAAACCCTAAATCCCCCCCCTCAAACAGAACCCTATTCCGAATTACCCTGCCATCTACCGAGCATTAAAAAGGGATAAAATCAAACTACAAGCTCCATTCTCATATTTACACCTCCATAGAGCAAAATTAATCTGAAGAAAAGTACTGCTGTTACCTTGCCGTCAATAACGATCCAACAATCCTCGCTCGTGTTGTGCTGAGACGCTTCTTCCATTGAGTAGAGCTTCGTTATTGTTGGCATTATTTCCTCCTTTTTTTTTTTCTTGTTTTTTTAATTTATGTGATGATTTTTCGTTTTTGGGCTTCTGGTTGATATTTGCCTACTTGTTGATGGTATCCTCTGCTGCAAGTTTTATGTGTGTGTGTGTGAGAGAGAGAGAGAGAGAGAGAGTTGTAAGTCAATTTGTATCTAAATTTTCTGCGATTGATCTCTGGAGGGATTTGAGGATGGTTGTGAAAGGCCCAATAGTAATTTGATCTAATTGGTTGGGCTTTAAATTGTTACTAGACAAAAAGTACCCTAAGTTGTGAATATATGATGAGAATATTTATATTTGTGTCTAATGAAATTTATTTTATTGAAATTTTTAAAGAAATAAAAAATCACTATATATTTTATATTATATTTGTTTCAGCTACACAAGTGATATGATTTATGACCTAACTCTATATCAAGATTGAAACCAAGTACTTTCTTTGGTTTATATTTTTGGAGGGGAGGAGAGGTTACTATTAAGTTACATTCTCCTCTAAAAATGAGGAATTTGAAGGGACAAAGTATTTAGTTTGAAATTAAAAGTTTCTTAGTAAGATTCCTAAAATTACCAAATTATTTTTTAAATTGAATTTATTTGTCAAGCCATGGCTCCGTCTCCAGTCTCTTGCCGATCTGGAGAAATCATCTTGGCTGTTGTTTCTTCGGTTTGTTTTAGGTTGGACCGTCTGCAGCCTTTTGCCTATTTGGAGAAGTCATCTTGGCCGTTGTTTCTTGGGCTTGTTTCAGGTTGGAGGCTCTCGTCCATTTGCGCGCCTCAACAGTTTTCTCCGGGGTTGCCCTCTTGTCAGTGCAACTCATCTAACCAGTCCCTTTCGCGCCCTCTTCCTCCTCTGTTTGACAATTAATGGAGCATAGATCTGGACTAAGGCTTGCCTTCTGGCCTCTTCTTTTTAACCGTTGTTTTTAGTTGAA